AGCCAGGACTTGGTTTTCCTCATTTTCTCCTTAGCCATCACAGGCTGAGTAGCTTTTTACCTTAACCAGAGGGCATCATGGCCTAAAGACAGTGGCCACAGCTTCAATATGTAAAATAGGAACTGAGGGGAAAGGTATAAAAATGGGACTCTCTCCTGAGTCTTGTCAGAATCCCAGAAATCGCCAGCCCTGGCCAGAACTGAGTCACATGTCTACTTCTGGACTAATCAGAAGGGAAAGCATTGCCATTAATGGCCAATGGATTCATCGCAGCTTGTCTGGCAAAAACAAAGGAAAACTGCTAGGTTCAAAAGGAGTATTGTGCCCACTCTTCTGCTCTAAGTGAAAGATAGTAAACCCCTGCTGCCCTCAGAACTCTCAAGTTCTCAAGGATTCTTCAGGCTTTTTATTGTTCTCCCTACTTTCTAATTTTAAATCTTTTCTTTCAGGAATGTTTTCTGCTTAAAGTTGTCCTTCAAAACATTTACTTTCTCAACCAATAGGTTTCTTTCGTGGATTGTTTTGTATACTCACTTAATGTTTGCATTCTAATTCCTTCTCTTTTGAAAAGCACCAAGACACATCACATTTGCAAAAGGACAACAGGTTTATTTTGTCCCTTCTTTCCCACTCATCGTACAGTTCTGTTTATCAGTTGTAGTATGTGACTTGGAGACAAAGAAAATGTCATCTTTTCGTTTCACAACTGCCAGCAGCATTTCACAGGTGCTAAGTGTATTTGACTTGTCCTTCTCTTTTATGACTAATCAGAGACATGCAGGTTTTCAAAGGGACCACTAGGAATCAGGGTATAAAAGCATGAAGTACCGATCATATTACAAATGCCTACTAACTTGTTTATACTAAATGCTGTGCATGTTTCCTTCTTGCTGGCACCAGGAAGTTCCAGAATGCAGTGTATTTCCCACTTCATTCCACTTATTTCAACATCTTTCACAGAAAGAAAAGGAGCGGAGTTTCCATGGTAACACCAACTGTGACAATTGAGGTTATGTGAAGATAGGTGAGATAACTCCCTTTCATATCCAGTAGGGAGAAGGCAAATGAAGTTTTTTCTTTCTGTCTTTCTCTCTTTCTTCTCTCAAGAATGGGACTCTGTAACTAAGGAACCTGGCCGTGTCCATATGAAGTTATGGATTTTCACTATCACAGAGATTTACATCTTTGGGGGAAAAGTCAGTTTTTTCTTAGCTCATGTTTATTTTGTTTTTCCCTACAAACAAATGAAGACATAAGTTTTTATTTCTAAAATCATTCTTGCAATAGAGCTTATGCTGGTATAGAAATAATTAAGGGATCAGGAAATAGACCTCCATCTCATACTCAGATCTTCAAAAATTCTCTATAAGTCTTGACATCCTTCTTACAATAGCTAATCTTTCAACCAGTATTGCACATACATTAACAAATCAAGTGTATACCATAATTTGAGCCAGACAAGGTGACAAAGCATGCTCCTACCTGTTGTTTCTATGACTCTTTGTGGCATTACGAGTGAAAACAAGCTTGTCAATACGAGAAACCCACAAGAGCTGCAACTACCTGATGAGCTGCAGTCTCTACACTTCTTACCAAGAAAGTATTGACTAAAGGTTAAAAAATATATCCTGAGAAATGAAATAAAATGCTATACTACTCTCTATTATTGTGCTAGGTGGAGTGGCCAGGAAGCCCACTCAATATTTTTATGGCTTCTATCAGATGCCCTCCAATCCAGAGTATGCCAGCTTTGAGGGGAGTAAAGAAAACAGCTGCTTAAGGTTATTTATGGAATCACAATCCCAAAGCAAATTTCAAAAGCCAAAAATCAAAACAAAAAGCAAACACCGGACTTTTATTCTTTTTGAAGTGAATCAATTTTTAGCTCCACTGTAATGCAAAAGGTGGATGGCTATATGACCTGTAAAAATAAAATTTAATGTTTCTTGGCTCCACTTAATCCCCACCAAGTTTAAGAATTTATCACTAAGATACACAATATGAATCTTATAAGAGTTTATTCAGGAGAATGTAACTACTATTAAGCTAAAGTAACCACAAAGAAGCATACTAGTGTTACACAAAATATGAGACTTCTAAAAAGCTACAACATGGTCTTGAAACATCCTTGCCAAAGTAATCAGAAATGAAGCATCCATGTAAGCCCACTGAACTTTAATTCACTTCTTTACATACTAGCTCAGATTAACATATCAGATCCTCTTCAGTTTCAATTTCTCTTAAAACATTCCTGATTCTTTGTTTTTCTTAGTTTACCTTTGCTGTAGCTCAGATTTAATGTCATATTTTGATAATATGTAATCAAAAAATAATGACTGATTTATACTGCCAGCCCTCCATATCCATGAAGTCAGCCAACTAGTAGATTTAAAATACTGTATTCAGGGGGTAACTGAATCTATATTGAACATGTACAGACATTTTCTTGTCATTCCATAAACAATACACTGCAACTATCTGCATAGCATTTACATTGTATAAGGTACTATATATAAGCAATATTGAGATGATTTAACAGGAGAATGTGTGTAGGTGATGTGCAAATATGCCATTTCATAGAAGGGATTTAAAGATCCAAATATTTTATTTAATTGATTAATTTATTTATTCGTACCGGGGATTGAACTCGGGTCCTTGAACTTGCAAGGCAGGCCACCGAACATTTTAATATGAAGGAGGCATCCCAGAACCAGTCCTGCACTGATACCAAGACAACTGTATTTTTATTCATTGAGAGACAAATGTAACTTACAATTTAAAATTGACAGGACACTTGCCCTCAATTGTATAATCAAAAACTTCTTGTTATTTATGGCAATGAAGGCAAACATATGTTAACTATTGTAAAGTAATGAAGCAAATGGGCAATAAGACCCTGCTAAATCTAAGTACATCTTTGCATAGTTTCATAACTGACAGAAAAGATGGGAAAAAGCACACCTGTTACAGAAACTCAGACCAAAATCTCTACAATGACCTTGTGGGAAAGGGGAACAGTGGAGAGGTACACATTGATCTAAATCAGAATTACAGAAATGTATTCTTTTCAAGAGATGTGATGGGGAAGGGGTAAGGCTAGTATCAAAATGAAGCACTTTAAAATAAATGCAAAATCAATTATTCAAAAGTCATCATCATCATCATCATCCAAAGTGTACGCTTTAAAAAGTTGCCTAAATTTGACGCTATAGCTGGGAAAGAGTGTGTACCTAAGATTGAATGCTAGAACAGAATGCTTATTTAAAAACTGAGTAGTAAAAAACGGAAACGTTCTAAACGCATTCATGGAGGACCAATGCAACTGCAGCGCGATGTCTCAAGGACCGGAAAATTTCTCAGCGTAGAGACAAAAGTCCGTGTTTTCTCCATTCAGCCCATGATCTAGCCTACATCCAGCAGCACCACTTCCACGCCCGTCTTTTAGTCAGAATGCCACGGAATTCATCACTCTGGCTTGCCAACGCAACCTGCGCCTTTGCCAAAACCTGGCACCGCGACTTCCCCTTCACTATCTGCCCTTCCCAAACCCAAGGGCCGCAGCCCTCACTCTATACCACCCACCCTCCAAGGCAAAGGAATCGCGAGTTGTGATTGGCTCAGCGCAAACCTCCGTCCTTCACCTGCTTACCTGTGATTGGTTGGCATAGAGTGCACAGGAGTACCCGCCCACCCTGGCGAGGTTCTGGGAGAAGGGTTAAACCAATCCTATGACTAAACTTTTTTCCCGATTGGTTGAAGGAGAAGCCATCACGTGGTATAAAATGTCTCTCTCTAATAGGTCGTGAGTGGTACCATGGGTTCCAGAATCGTAAACTGATTGGCCACATTGAATTCCACCTTCCTACACGATGCCTCCAGCAGGCTGTTGCTGAGGTGTCCTCGGGCCTTCCAGCTACCGCTGGAAATTCCGCACTCCAAGTTTTCCACGTGCCCCAGGCTGACCGGGCGTGGGAAGAACCCTTCTGGCGGACACTGGCGGGCGGGGCTGGAGGGAGTGGGCGGGGCTGCGCGACGTCATCGGGCGTGGACGGGCTGCGTGGCGTGTGGGCGCAGCGGACTAGCGCCTTAGGCGTGCCGCCACCCCTCAGTCCTGACCTTTGAAACCAGGCTTCATTTTTTTCGTGTTTATGCAACCTCAGGCAGAGGCTTGGAGGCATTCATTGTCTTCCACGACTGTTCGCACCGTTATGTTTACACAAAATAAAACCAAATTCTCCGGAGTGCTAACAGACTGGGTGGTATCGGACACTGGCGTTCACGCCATGGTCCCCTACCCCACTGGACGCTTAACTTCTTTTTCTTATTCGCTGCTTCAGTTTCAAGTCTGGAGATTCCACTCGCCCCTCTTCCACTTTGACTCCGTCAAATTCTGAGCGAAGGAGGCACACATTGATGTTGCACTCGCCTGAGGCGAGCAGCGCGCGCACGCGCAGTTCGCAGACCGTAGCTTGGACCGAGCGCGCGGGGCGGGGTGCTGCCCAGTGAACTCGGTCTGCGCTTGTTTATCTAAGCGCGGGCAGAAGCTTCCGCGCGGCGCAGAGCCTCTCGGCAGCGCGCGGGACCGGTCGCCTAGGC